GCCCCCCCGGCCCATTTAAAACCATCTCCCCGGGCGGGGCGGGAATACCCACCCCCCCATCAGCAGACCCCCCCTCCTCGAAGAGGCTCCCGCCCCCACAACCAGCTCCAATCCCCTCCTGGGGGGGGGGGGTCCCGACCCCCCCAGCAGCAGAGGGCATTGGACCCAGCTCTCCCGGCTCCCGCCTCTTCGCCGCCGCCGCCCCCTCCCACCTCGGCTCGTGTTTTAGCGGTACGCTCGAGGCGGCTGTGTTCACCGCGCCTTCGAGCCCAATACACCTTCGTCGTGTCGAGTGCTGGCGTTTTACTAAAGACTTGTGACCATGTGAGTCTATTGTACTACCACACTAAAAGCCGTATTAGTGAGCCACTCACTCGGGCGTCTCGGCTGACGTTGATCGATCAGCGTTGATCTCTCTAGCCTATCGGTCACCCGCTCGATCCTCGGATCGCTCGCTCGTCGAAATCGATCGACTGAGCTTAAGGACCTTTCTTTTTTCAGTGTCGTGCGAGGGAGTTTTGTTGTAAAATTCTTTTTTCGAAACGCGCGCGCGGCCCGTCGCGCGGCAAAACTGTCAGGTCCGCCGCGACGCGTCGCCGCAATGGCGCGGGCAGCGACGTGGTGGAAGCCATGCGGCTCGCCCTCAAGCCATTTAATATCCAGCACCTCGCCGACGACTGGAACGCTAACCGTACTTACTTACAGCTGTCGGTACAGAGATGCCAGCACCCCCCAGCAGCAGAGCGCTGCTGCTGGGTCCCGAACCCCCAGCAGCAGAGCGCTCCTGCTGGGGGGGGGGGGGGGGGTCCCGACCCCCCCAGCAACAAAACGCTGCTGCTGGGGGGGGGGGTCCGCCCTTACTTTTAATTTGCAGGGGGGGTACCCAACAATGTGGGGCCCCTCCTACCCCAAGGGGGGACTCTTTCCCGGCTCGGTCACGCTGAAAAAAAAACTTAAACGGCGTGCAACAAAAAATCCCCCACCAAGGGGCCCGGGAATCCCCCTGTCCCCTACCCTTTTCACACAAAAAAACAACCTTTAAAAAAAACTTAACAAACAGTGTTGCTTGTGTTAACAGTAACAACAAAACAACCGTGCTCAATGGGGCTCCCCCACAACAATAGCTAAAGTTAGGCCCGCTGAACAAAAATAAAGAAAGGCTGGGAGTGACCCCCCACAATTTCCCGCGTCCAAAAAGGGGGGGTAAAACCCCAAAAAACCCCGAAACCCCCCCCAAAGGGAAAATTTCCTTCGGGTTTTACCCCCCCCGGAGCCCGGGATTTTTTTGGCATTTTCTGCTTGCTGACCACTGAACAACAGTAACAACAGTAGCAAACAGTAACAGCTTGGGCTGGGGAGAACACTTGAACAACGTTGAGGATTTCAGCCAACAATAGTGCAACTGTTAGGCCCAAAGTTAACGTTTGACAACCCTCTAGCAATTACACCGACGGACAGGCTCTCGCCTATTGGCGCGTATCGAAGGTAGGAGATCTCCCTGGCACTACAGAGGAGGAGATAGCTGCACCTTCGTCGGAATTGGCATTCGGGCCGCCCGTGCCGCCAGCACCAGACGGCACGCCGCTCTATCAGTACAGCCACACCCAAGTGACGGCTGCCTGCGCCGCGGCGGCGGCGCCAAATGCGGCGAGGGCGAGCTCAAGGCTCGACTCGTCCGCCTCCGCCGCAACGCGCAACATCCTCCCCACCGGCCCGCCCCGCAGCTCGCACGCTCGCCTCAGCGCCAGAGCGCAGAGCGCCGCCGCCGCCGCCGCGAGCGAAGCGCTCGCGAGCAGCAGCGGCGTGCGGTTGGCGGAGGTGGCGTCGACGTCGAGCCACACCACGTGCAGCGAGCCGCGGGAGTGGTGGCCCCCGCCGCGGCCGCCGCCGGCGTCGCGGCAGCGCCGCCAGTCGATGCGCGGCCACGACTGGCCCGCCGCCTGCCCGCCGCCTCCTTCTCGCGCCATCACCTGCGGGCCTCGCGCCGGCCCTCCGCGCAGCGGGAGACGCTCCCTCTGGCTCTCTCTCTGGCACGCGTCGCTGGCGGCCTCGTCGTCGGACGACTCGAGCTTGGCGAGCCCCGGCGGCGGCGGCGCGTGCGCGGCCACGTGCGCCTGCAGCGCCGCAAACGCGAAGCCGACGGCGGTGAGCAGCCAGCCGCCAAAGTGCAGGTGCTCGCCGAGCACGAGGGTGAAGGCGCCAAAGGCGTAGCCGAGGGAAGTGCCGCACGTCGCCTGGAAGAAGCGGCCGCCGAGCGTGCGCCGGCACCGCGCGCACAACCCGAGCCCCGCCGGCGCGACGACGGCGACGGCGAGGAGGCGGCTGAAGCGGCTGATGGCAAGGCGGAAGAGGAGAGGCACGGCGACGAGCGGCGCGGCGCCGAGGAAGCCGAGGTACACGGCTCCACCGTGCATCGGCAGGCGCACGCGGTCGTCCAAGTCAGAGAGCAGCGCCGCCAACCCCTCCGGGGAGCAGAGCGGAGCGCGGCGGTGTCGTACCGCCGAGTCGAGCGCGGACGCGTCGGCGAGGTGACGCCGCTCGCCATGCTGGTCGACAAACTCGCAGCAGCAGAAGAAGGCCTCCACGTCCTGGTCGTGCGGCGGCCTGCCGTGGCCGTCGAGCATCTCAGATGGTGGACGCGGCCGCGGAGGCAAAGCGCTACACAGAGCGAGGCCGACTGAAAAAAAATTTTGTGCGCGCGCCCGGGGCTAGGGCTCTCTTGCCCGCAACCGATGCCGAGCGTCCGGCCAACTGGGTGCGCTTCTCAGCTCCCCGGTCCTGGGCGTGAGGTTAATGACCGCACTCCAAGTGCTCCAAGAATCCTCCACCGCGCAAAAGAATTACTCCGGGCTCACTTTGGACACGGGTGGTGGGGGTCCCGGGTGGTGGTTGGGAGCAACACGAAGCTGCAGCTCAGCGGAAACAGAAGGAAGAGTGGCGGGCGACACGCCCGCGCACCGACCCACCGGGGGGAAGAGCTCAAGCGGGAAAATAAATAAAGTCCGAGCGGCTGGGCACGCCGCCGTTTGCTTAGGGTACCCCTAGGCTTAAAAGGGTGGGCCCTGGGGCGCCTGCGGCTTAAACGGCTTAAAACCGGCCTAGGCCGGTTTTAAGAGCTGCTGGGCCGCCGATTCCTTAAACGGTCTTAAACGCTTAAACGGTGCGGGAGAGCTCCCGAGGTCGATGGTCCGGGAGGCTCCCCGGTAGACGCCGGAGGCCGGGAAGCTGGCTACAGTCAGCTGGCACGCGTCCCCTATGCGAGTATGGCTCCCGCCAGTGCACCAGACTTACAGATGTGTCTTCAGTGGCGGGTTCGTGCCTAATAACGGCAGTATTGGAGAAACCGGCGCGGAACCCAGCGACGCGTGCCGGTGAGGCCGATTTTCTTAAAGGGACTTAAAAGAGGGACCCCCCGTGCCTGCAATCTCTTAAATGGCAAGTTAAGCCCCCAAACCTCCTCGTTTCTTAAAAGGTCTTAAAAAAATCCGGCCCTCAGAACCCTAGGGGTACCCTAAGGCCGTTTGGTACGGCTTGGGAGCAAGTACGCTGATTGGATTCCATCGTGTCTCCCCCACAGCGCACACCAAGAAAACACAGCCCGAGTAATGTGTGCCTGCGGCCCCTGCTGCATCTTGCTGCTGCTCACTGGTCGCTACGCTATATGTATACGTAGTCCACAGTCCACAGAGAACGAGAAAGTAGCTGCCGGAGCCGGCGTGGCGGCGTGCGCGCCGCGCGGGCGTTGGCATATCACGACAGCATGTGTGTCCCGTCGGCACCAGCCGCGCCACCGGGACCGCGTGGGAGCACGTGGGGCCAAACGCCGTGAGCGGCGAGGCGGCGCCGCGGAATGCGCCGCCGGAGTCCAGAGCTCCAGACAAGTCTGGCCAGTCCGTGCAGAGCGTTCTAGACGAATTTTTAGCAGTCGAGACGTCGTCTGTATCGGCCGGGGAGTCGTCGACTCCGTCTCCGCGCTGCTCCATCCGCGCCTTCAGCGCCGCGGAGCGTTTGCTCTCGTCGGGGTCCGTGCACTCCATCACCGCAGTTCGCACGGGCTCCGGGCTGAGCTGCTCGGCGGTGAGATTGCAGATGGCCTCGACGAGCTGAGAAGGCAGGCGCTGTTGCAGGTACGACTTGAGCCGCGAGAAGTGCTTCTTGCACGTGTCGGCTTTGCGTTTGCCCACGGTGACCTCGCTCTTGTTGCCGAGGTCCAGTGTTGCACGCCAGCGACGCATAATCAGCTCGAGCTCATCGACAGCTTTCCAGCCATTGATCGGGACGGCGCGCTGTCCCGGAGGAGGATCGTGGCGAGCGCGGAGTGCGCCCACGAGCCCCTGCAGTGCAGCCTCCGGACTCACTTCCACGGATGAGCTGCACGCGTCCGAGGCAAAGCTACACAGGACCAGAGCGAGGCCGACTGAAAAAGAATGTAGGTTACTATAGGGCAGGAGAAAAGACGAGCACTTGTTGTGTGTTGTGTGTTGTGGTGGTGTGCGGTGTGCGGGGTGTGTGTGTGTTGTGCGTTGTGTGTTTTTTGCGGAGAAAGAATTTTACAAACAAACTCCCTCGCGCAAAAGAATCACAGCGGCCTCACTTTGGGACACGGGTGGTGGGGGTCCCGGGTGGTGGTTGGGAGCTTGGCTGTTGGGCGCGCGATTTGGGCGAAAGCGAGAAAAAAATTCTGCTAAAAAAGGCTGGTGCTGCACACCGCCATCCCAGCAGCGTGTTGAAAAGGCGCTCTTGTCGCCACCGCGGTGGTGGTCGAGCGCGTCGCGCACACGATAAAACGTGCGTACGTGATGGTGGTGAGCTCGGTCGAAGGTGGTGGGCCGAAAACGCGAGTAGGTACGGCCGCGCGGGGCCACGCGAGTTCCAACCACCACCCGGGACCCCCACCCGTGTCCCAAAGTGAGAATTCCGAGTCTAATCACAAACCTCGCACAACACGATTCAAAGAACTTGTTATGAGAAGAAAGTACCTCCTATCGTCCTATGGCGCTGCGCGCTGGTCCTCTATCGGAGCGGAGGTTGAGGTGTGAGCCCTGGAGGCCCTCGGAATGGCGGAGACTACCCACAGGCCTAGAAGGCCCGCGCGCAGGGGGGTGGGACATTGCGGCCGGTCATGAATGAGTGCGCGACACGCATGTTGCGAGAGCAGCGTTGTTGATGTTCTGCGCGTCGCCACACAGCGGCGGACGGCCGCGCCGCGCGTAAGGAAGCTGTCACACGACAGACAAAGGCGCACGCGCGACAGCAGCTTCCTCAGAAGCCGTCGCCCCCACCGCAGAAAAAGAAAATGAGGCGGCAGAGAGCTCCGCGGCGCGGAACGTCGATACACGTTTGCCGCGGGGGGGCGGGGGGGGGGGGCGGCCCCGCCCCGGGAGAAAATCGCGCGCGGGCCGCGGGTAGGCCGGTACACGCGGACGCGGTTTGTGCTTTGGAGCTATCCATTGTACTATACTACCTGCGCGTCGACGCTCCCGCGCATCACGTACATTCAAGCGCATGCTACAAGTGGCGTAGCTGGCCACTGGAGGTGGATATATGCCAAATATGCGCATCCGCTGATCCGAGCAACTCAAGTCATCAGTCCGCTTTGGCGCGAGCCTTGGCAGCCCGCTGGCCCAGCCCGCTGATCGCCCGAGTCAGGCCGGTTAGGAGGATGGCGACACCGATCTGTGCGGGGCAGCGTGGGGTGTCACTTGGTGCAGTGAGGGCTAAGCGGCAGTCAGCCGATCAGCCGCGCCGCGACGGCGATGGCCGGCCCGACGGTGGAGGCGAGCTGCGCCCAGTCCATCGCCTAACGGCGTGCATGTCAGGCCCTCAAAGCCAAGCGTAGGCGACCGGGGGCGGCCAGATCGCCGGCGCACGTCTTGCCGACTGTCCTTGACTTTGAGGTAGAGGAGGCCGCCGCACGCCGTGATGAACATGAAGAAACCCTGGTTGCGCTGCGCTTTGAGGCGCAATGCGAGCTCAGGGTCGGCAGCCATTTAGCGGCAGTAACGCTGCTGGGCAGCGGCAGCGATGAGTGTCTCCAGGCGCTCACTCGTGCCGACGGCAGCAAAGGATGGAAAGAATTCGTGATCGTCGCGAGCGGAAAGCGGGACCCCCCATCGCTCCTCTGCCGTCAAACTTGCTTCTTCCGTACGCAGGGATGCCTAGGCGTGAATTCACCGCCCTAGAAATAAATTTAAAACGCGTTTATTGCCTGTTTAGCGCCGATCTTACAGCTTATTCGAATGTCTTCTTACGTTGCTTCGTGAGCGATTCAGCCGTCATTTCCCCTCCTTTCACCCGCTCTTCCCCCGCCTTTCAGCCGCCATTCAAGCAACGTTGAAACGCGTTTCACAAACATGTTTTCCGCTCTTCGTCAACACGGTTTGCCTTGAAGTTACCGCACCGACGCTAAATTCAAGCCCCTTCAAGCCAATTTATGGATTATGGGCAGGTGGGCAGGAACACTGCTGCTGCTAAGCACCCGCACCGCCCAGTGAGTAGTGTCGCGGGCTAGGATAAGGACCATGATCTGGCTTCCACAGATCCCACATTTCATGATGAGGGAATCAATGCCGAGCAGCTCCGAGTGCTGCGAAGAGTGCAACAGCACAGCTTGCCAGGCCCTGCTTGCACGCGATGAGACGGTGGAACCCTGCTTGCACGCGATGAGCAAGGGCTCAGCCATGCGTCCTCGCCCCGCGTGCCTATGCCACGAAACGCGGAAGAAGAATTCACCCGCGGTGCGCGCGAGGGAGTTTTGTTGTCGTAGTGGCAAGACGTGCTCTCGACAGCTAAGGGCTAAGTAAGACGCGCTCATTGTTGCAATGTCATTGAGGCAGGAAAGAGCTCGCCGAGGAGTCGAGGGCTCCCGACCACGCCGGACCCAGCCAGGATAAGGCACGCTTGCCTTAAACTGCCATGAAGAGCACTAAATGTGCGATAAAAATCTGTTGAAAGCGCCACAAAATGTGTTTGGAAGAATCTCTCGCAAATGAACAGCGAAGGGCGCAGTGAAAAACGATAGTTAGAGGCTGCGCAGGCCGTCCCGTTTGCTGTGTTTGAAACGCCTGTTGCGCTGCGCGCGCGCTGCCGGGGCTCTGTCTCACTCACGTGCCGCAATATGTGTCACACACGGCGGCTTCTGCCACCTCTCGATTGGTTCCACTTTCTACGCACACCTACCGGGGAAGGGGCGCGTGGGAGCGGGGGCGGGGGCGGGGGTGGGGGCGGGGGAGCGCAGCGCGGGGCGCGCGCGCGCAACAGAGGGTAGGGTGGGGAAGACGGCGAGGAGGGGGCGGCGGCGGCGGCGGCGGCGGCGGCGGCGCGCGCGCGGCGCGCGCGACGGGGGGGCGGAGCAGCGACCGCTGGCGCGGTCGCTGCTCCGTCTGTGACAGACGCGCGCTCTGCCGCTGCAGAGCGCGCGCGCGTCAGGCAAAGGAGGGCAAGCGTGGCGGCGCGGGACGCGCGGCGGCGGCGGCGAGCAGCTGAGCGCTCCGTGAGCGGTGAGGCGGCCGGGCGAGGGCGCGGCGGGTGACGGGTCAAGGGAGCAGCCCACACCCGGCGTCGCTTTTTGAGCGACGCCTGTGGTACGCCTGCGCAGGGGCCGCAGGGCGGTCAGTTGTGGGGCGAGGCGGTGCCGGCCGCGGGACGGGTGCAAGGCGCCGGCCTCGGCGCCGCCTCGGCGCGCCGCACCCGTGACGGGTCAAGGGAGCAGCCCACACCCGGCGTCGCTTTTTGAGCGACGCCTGTGGTACGCCTGCGCAGGGGCCGCAGGGCGGTCAGTTGTGGGGCGAGGCGGTGCCGGCCGCGGGCCGGGTGCAAGGCGCCGGCCTCGGCGCCGCCTCGGCGCGCCGCACGGGCGCGGCGAGCCTCTGAGCGGGAGCCGAAGGTTTGCCTGCGGGAGGGAGGTGGTGGTGGGTGAGTTGACTTTGCCGCAGAGGCCGTCCCTAGCTGTGAACAGCAAAACGGGACAGTATAAAACAAATCTTCAAAGCGCCTTGTATTCATGGTTAGGCACCCTCGCGTACGTGCGGTTGTAGAAGACCTTCATGATCAGCACCACGCTCCTCCGGCAGTGCCCATCCTTCCGCCCTGGCGTGGCGTACGTGCTTCACAACGCCCTCTACCTGCAGCCCTGCGCGCGCAACGTTGCTGCCACCTCGCTGCTCGCCAGCCGTGGGCCCGGGTTTGCGCTGCCGGCCGACTGCGGCTTTGAGCGGCTCGACCCCAACTCGGAGCCCACTGCGGCGGAACTCGCGGCGGTGGTGGACGAGGTGTACGCCGCGAGCACCGCCTCGGCGGGCGCTATGGGTGAAAATGACGCTGGGATCACCTTTGCCGGCGACGGAGAGCCGCTGCTGGCGCTCGAGACGCTGGTCGAGACCGTGGAGCTGCTGCGGGTGCGGCGCAACGGGCTGCCGATGCGCATCGTCACGAGCGGGCTCGTCGGCCCCGAGATTGCGGAGCGGCTGATGGGGTCGGGCGCCGTGGCGCTCGGCGATGAGGACGCGCGGCGCGAGACGCGGATCGCCTCTGTCTCCGTGGCGCTGAACGCGGACAGTCCGAACCTGTACCAGCGGCTGGTCGGGCCTCCGAACGGCGCGGCGGGGTTCGGCCAGGTCTGCGGCTTCATCTCCGCCCTCGCAGAGGGCGGCGTGGCGGTCGAGTGCACGTGCGTGGAGCACCCGGACGTGGATGTCGCGGCGACGAGGCGGCTCGCCCTCGCGCTGGGCGCGAGGGATCTGCGCGTGCGACCGTACTTTGCGGCGAGTTGATGAGACGTTGTGGGGCGTCCGTGTGTCGGCTCCTGGTCGCCCCATCGGGGTTAGCGGAGTAATAAATAAATAAATAAATAAAAACGGACACCTCTCTACTGTGAGATGGGTAAAAAGGAACAGGCCCCCGCCCTTGCGATCTTTGTGCAGGGTTCTTTGTGGGTGTGGTCGGCGACTAGCCGGGGTCGTCCTCCCGATGGGGGACTAGCACTAGCCGTCTTCCACATGGTCCCTCGGGTCCCTGCTGCTCCTAATCTCTTCGTACATCCTCCTGCTGATCTCCGCAAAGTCCTGCTCCCTCCCTCGTCTCGCCCTGCGCGTCTGCTCCGCCTCACCGTCTTCTGCCCTGCGTCGTCTGGCGACGGGTCCTCCATAGTCGGTCGAGGTCGCCGCCCTCCTCGTGCCTCTTCCCAACGTTCCCTCGGCGGCCGATGCCGTCTGCTCCGGCTCCCCAGTCCCCGGGTCTGCCCTGCTCTCGTCTGCGCTAGTTTCTGCTTCGTCCTCACCGGCGTCTCTCCTCTTCCCTCTCCCCTTCTTGTATGCTTTGCACATCGCGTCGATTCCTGTTCGCGTGAGCACCAGCCTGAAGCCCGCCCAGCATCTGAACCGCTCCCTAAGTCGAAGGAGCATCATCAGTCTCACCCACCTCGCTCTCTGCCCACCGACTCCGCTCCCTCCCGCTTGAGCCGCCGTCGCGGCCCTCGTTAGCGGAGTACATCTGGGGCCGTCCTACTTTTTTCGTTCACAGCTTTTCGCAAAAAAATCTTCCCCAAGCGCGAAGGGCTCCCTCCTCCCGCCCCGAATAGGGAGTCCACCGTGCTGCGAACCTGTCGCTGTCCCTTTTGTCAGTAGCAGCAAGCAGGAGAACTAGGAGCGGCCGCACACTGCTCGGTACCCCCCCCCTGCACACCTAAGCCCATGGCCGACCCCCCCCCCAGCAGGAGCGCTCTGCTGCTGGGGGGTGCTGGCATCTCTGTACAGACAGCAGCTGTAAGTAGCATGCGTTCGAGTTGCGAGAATTTATGGTCGGCATCAAAATCAGTGGTCTCACCGGCGGGGCCTCCTACTGCCAACCGGGCTGTGCGGGGCAGTCCAGGGCGAGCCGCATGGCTTGCACCACGTCGCTGCCCGCCATTGCGGCGACGCGTCGCGGCGGACCTGACAGTTTTGCCGGGCGACGGGCGCGCGTGCGTTTTCGAAAAAAGAAAAGGCAGTCCCTTGCTGACAGCTCAGTCGATCGATTTGCGACGAGCGAGCGATCCGAGGATCGAGCGGGTGGCCGATAGGCTAGGGAGATCAGCGCTGATCGATCAACGTCAGCGAGACGCCCGAGTGAGTGGCTCACTATACCCTTGTATGACCTTGAGCTATGCGTGTGGTAGTAACAAGATAGACTCAGATGGTCACAGGTCTTTAGTAAAACGCCAGCACTCGACAGCACGAAGATGTATTGGGCTCGAAGGCGCGGTGAACACAACCGCCTCGAGCGTATACCGCTCAAACACGAGCCGAGGGGGCGGGAGGGGGGGCGGCGGGAGGCGGGAGCTGGGTCCAGTGCGCTCTGCTGCTGGGGGGGTCGGGACCCCCCCCCCAGCAGCAGCGCTCTGCTGCTGGGGGGGTCAGACCCCCCCCCCTAGCAGCAGGGATGGGCTTAGAAGTGCAGGGGGGGTACCGAGCAGTGTGCGGCCGCTCTAGGAGAGCGCACAACCAGTAGGAGGCCCGCGCCTGCCCCCGTGCCGCCGGGTGCAACTTTGTCCTATACGAGAGGGGAATCCCTCCAACCCTCCGTTCAAACTCAAAGTTTGCCTGCACGAGGGACAGCAGGAGGACGGTGGAGATTATGCCAAAGATGAGGTACATCGCCCGGCCCAGTGGCCCTGCTCAACCACGCGACGGCGGCGACCGAAGACACGAGCAGTCGCAATGGCGATTTCGGCGCTCGCCGATGCGAGGTCTTCCACAGAGCACGTTAGAGGATTGCCTGATTATTATTAGTGACTTTCTACCCACACGGACGGCCGAACGAAGGGAACGGACGGCCGAACGAAGGGATCCAATGAATGCAACGTCGAAGCTCAGTGTGTGTCCGCAAAAAAACGCCTCCTTCCGTTTTGTACGCGACCGGCTGAATAAAAATCTCCCTCCCGGAGTCCAGCGCTGTCCAGTCATTAAACCGCCACAAGACATTGCCCCAAGACCGGGCGCGCCACATTTGGTGTCATCTGGTAGCATTTGGTGTCTTTTGGTCACATCTGGTAGCATCTGGTAGCATTTGGTGGAGGCGCGCCACTGTACGCCAGCCAAATTGTCCAGACAAAACATTTGGTAGCATCTGGTGCCACTTGGCCACAGCGGTGGCCTCGTTGGCGGACCCGACGGTGGACTCAGTGGTTGTGAGCCTCGTTGGTGGACTTGGAGATGGCTTCGATGGGGGACCCGACGGTGGCGGACTCGGAGGTGGCTTCGTTGGGGGACTCGGTGGGCGGGAACTCGACGGGTGCCACTTCCGCCACCACTCAAGCCAACTCGCTGAGTGCGCTCTACGCCCAGGTCCGGACACGCTACTTCGAAGCGTCCAGCCCGCCCAAGTCATATACCCAGGGTCTAAAAGCCCTGCGGCGGCTGTGCAAGAGGAAATCTGAGCCTGGCCTTGCCACGTTCTCGCGGCCCCGCCGGCCGAGCAGCGCAAGCTTCTCCGTGGCAATATGCCAGACATTATTGGTGCTGACGCCATGGAGGTGCCAAGAAGACTTGTGAGCAGGGACTCCGACCCTGACTGCCACCACGACACCCCGCAGGCTTCCGTGGTGCCGGCTACCGTATCGAGCGCTAGCCAGACTAAGCTGTGCGGTCGCACCGCACCAGCACCACTCATGACGACCAAGTTGCCGTCGATCTCATCGCTCCGCGATCTCGCCGGAGGAACCATGTAGTGAGCTCAGAGCTGTACACGGAGCGAGGGTCTGTACCGAGGCGTACAGGAACGGACAAGCAAGACTACATCAGCCAGCCGCGGACGTCCGACAAACAGAGCAATGAGCAAGCCGGCCTGACACGTCCCGCACATGTCCCTGTTCACACAGACATCTCGCTAGGATAGAGAGTTATCTATTCATGAAGAGGCGTTCACACTCCCAACACGTAACCGAGGCGCAAGGGCTCCCTCCTCCCGCCCGCCCGCTCGCACCGCAACACCGACAGTCGTGAAGCAAACCACCGCGGCGCAGCCCTCGTCCTCAGCCGGCGCCCAGGCACACATACATGGCACCATCCACAGTTGATTGCCTCGCTGGCCACTTGCAGCCAGCGATCGTGGGTGGCGGCATATTCTCGGCTCTGCATGTCGCACAGGGTTTTCTGCTGACGCCGCAGCTCGTGGGCCTGAACATCGGCTTTTTGTATGCTTATGGTGCGCTCACTTGTCCACTCGAGGAGCTCTCAGGCCGGCGATCGTGGACGCACAACGCGCTTGCGGGCGGCGCCCTGGGCTACATCGCTTTTGAGCAGGGCTTGACAGGCATTCCGTTTGGCCTTGAGCGCCAATTCTCCATGAGGCGGATCCCGCTCGCGACAGGCGCCGCGCTCGTGTACGGAGGGTTGGGTGGATTCTTGGCCATAATTCAGGGCAAGCCGTTGTAGCTGTGGAGCGAGCCGTGCAGTCGCGACACGCGAGGAAAGGCCCAGGGCTCTCAGGCCTCTCACCCGGTCAGGAGGGAGGGGGGCGAGAGAAAAAGGTGTGCGCATGCGCTCGCGCACTCACCCGCCCGCGGATTGTGTTATAATGCGCGGGTCGGCTGCTTCTACTAATATTTGTAGTGATGTTGCGCGACCATCCGGGCCGCCTGCTGGTCACATCTGCTAGCTCGTGGTCATATCCGGCCACATCCCGCGCCGCAGGCCCCGCGCAGCGCACTCCGCCAGCCCTCCGCAGCCCGAACCTGTCCATGGGCCTGGAACCCGACGTCTCCGCCCCAACCTCCTGCAACCGCCTCGCAGCCTCACCTCAAAATCTGCTTCCGCCCGCCTCCGCTCCGGCGGCGGCTGGCCAGCGCGCCGACGGGTCAGCTTTCAAAGCGCCGGTCAGCGGCGGCCGCGCCCCTCCTGCTTGCGCGCGCGCTTGCGCTCGTGCTCCTCGATGATGTCGGAGACGTCCTCGGGGGCGGTCGCCTCCTTCTCGGCCGCCTTTGCCGCCTCGTACCGCTCCTTGAGCGCCGCCTCGTCCAGGCTGCCCAGCTCGGACGGGTCGAGCGCCAGTGCGACGCCGCTGCTGCCCGGCCTGGGTGGTGCACCGCTCGCGCCGCCGCCGGAGGAGGAGGGGGGGGGGGCGGCGCCGGAGAGGTCGTAAGTGTGGGACGAGCCAAAGGCTGCGCCGCCCACCTTGGCGTCGCGCTGCTGCAGCACCTGCGCGAGGCGGTTCCGAGGGGGGGGGGGGGGGGCAAGGAGGGGGGGTTAGAAGGGGGGGAAAGAGGGGGGGTAAAAAGAGGGGGGGAAAAAAAAAACCCCCCCACAAAAGGGGGGGGGGGGCCAAATAACCCCCCCCCCCCCCTGGTAAAATTGCCCCCAAAAAAAAAAACTCCGGGTGTTTGGGCCCCCTCCCCCACACAAAAAAGGGTTTTCGGTGCCCCGGGCCTTTTCGCCCCAAATTTTTTTTCAAAATTCCAACAAAATATGGGCGGGGGGAAGACCCCCCACGGGTGGAGCCCCATTTTAAAGGGCCCCCCCCCCCCGGGGGAAAAGGGGGGCCCCCAAAAA